CTAGAGGTGTATGTGTATGTGTATGTGTGTGTGTGTGTGTCTAGAGGTGCATGTGTATGTGTATGTGTGTGTGTGTGTGTCTAGAGATGTATGTGTATGTGTATATGTGTGTATAGAGGGATGTGCGTGTGTGTGTATGAGTAGATGGGTGTACGGCCATGTGCCAGTGCTAGGACCATAAGCACTGGATTAGGAAGAACATACCGTGGGCTATAAGCTAGACCCTACGAAAGTATAAAACGACAGGGGTCACACTTGACAGTGCTATTGTGGCATGTGCGCATACCTTGCGAAGATATACAGTTCTTTCTTTCGCGAACCTTCCGAACCACACAACGCAGTAGTACATACGTAGTGGGTTGATCAGCTAACCCACCCACACACGTGCGCACGCTGTCAGTACACAGCTGCACACAGACTACTTCCAAACCCAATGCCCATGTTAAACGCCTGCACATTACATACTTCTGCTGATGACCCTTCCGAGACAACTTCATAGCCCACCCCACTCCTAAAGCCCTAAAACCCTATAACCCAAGGCCCATGTTAAACGCCTGCACATCACATACTTCTGCTGAAGACCCTTGCGAGACATCTTCATAACCCGTCCCTCCCACACCCACTTGCGCCCAGGCACAATCAGGTCGAGCTTGCTGCTGTTGATGAACTTCGCTTGGGCTGTCAACAACTGGTCCACGTTCTGTCTATCCCTAACCGCTGCGAATGGCACGCAATGGGTTACAAACGAAGTGGCGTGGGTGGTAGGTATAACAGGTAGACACTGTGTCGGTGGGCGTTAGGGGTTAGTTGGCTGAATCTGTAAGGCATGTGCGTATAAACAGGCTAGTTCTCTGTGTGTGGTGCATACGGAATACCCTGACACACGTTCATCTGCTCTCCCTGGAGACAGCCCTGTACACGTGTGTGTGAATGGAACCACCTACCATCAACCCTTCACTACACACGTGTACCTATACATTAACAGTAGAAACAACAAGCACGTGACTACACGCACATTGGATGGAACCACTTACTATCCATCCTACACTACACACGTGTACATATACATTAGCAGTAGTAACAACAAGCACGTGACTACACGCATATTTGGATGGAACCACTTACTATCCATCCGTCACTGCACACGTGTACTTATACATTAGCAGTAGTGACAACAAGCACATGACTACACGCACATTTGAAAGGAACCACTTACTTTCCATCCGTCACTACACACGTGTACTTATACATCAACAGTAGTAACGACAAGCACGTGACTACACGCACATTTGAATATAACCACCTACCATCCATCCTTCACTACACACGTGTACTTATACACTAACAGTAGTAACGACAAGCACGTGGCTACACGTACATCTGAATGGAACCACCTACCATCATTGACAGCCATGGCCACTTCACTGGTGATAGTGAGTGCGCGCTGTATGAGCGGATTGTCTGGCGACTGCTCGGGTGTGTGTCTGTGGTGTGATGTGAGGTGATGTGAGAATTATTGGGCTGTGAAGCACTTGCGTGTGAGTTGAGCTTATTTACTAAAGTAGACCCTAAAATCCTAAAACCCAAAAACCCTAGAGTCGGAATGTTTCTCTGAGTGATCGCGGGGATAAATACGTGGCAAGCAGCGACGACTACACACAGGTGCAATTCAGCTCACTTCTTAGTTATCGGAGGAGTGAGTGGTATGGGTGTTTGTGGAGAGAGACAGAAAATAGGCCAGTTACAACACACATGCACACACACACACACACA